TTTTCGAAGCCGACTGAGGTTCGTGGATGCCAGTGGCCGGCTGCTGAAGAACGATCTGCTCCGAGGAGGGGTCGTGGGGGGATCGGGGGGGGGGGGAACGGTTTGAGTGCGGGCGGTTGGACCCGTTCAATAACCGTGACACAACGGCAATCTAGGATTTGCCACCTGGGCACTTTGGCCTTGTCGGCGTTGTCAACATCAGGGGGGTCTTCTTGCCACCTTTTGTGAGAAAATGGCCGACCCCCTCAACAACGAATCCTTGACTACGAGGGGGTCGATCAATTGTCCACAAAAGATGACAAGGTGGCAAAAAGACCCGCCTGGTCAAAATAGTTTCTTGGGGGCGGCTGGCAGGGGTGGGTCCTGGGGTGCTCGAAGGCGCAAGTGGCAACTCATGCTGAAGGTGCAGAAGATGTCAGTGTCCAGCCTCAAACAAGAGCAGCTCTTGTTTATGGCCTTCGAAAGGATGGTGCATGTCTTTTGACGGCCTTCCAGTGGCAGCTTTCTTTGATTTCTTTCCTGGATGTTGTCTTTTTTTTTGACATCAAGCACAAAAAGTAGGGTCTTCGCTTTTAGGTCTTCTTGAGGGCGACGCCGAATTTCAGCCGCTTCCGGACACCGGGTTGTCCGAAGGCGTCCACTCGCCTGAGGAGATTTGCCCATTTGGGAGGGCAATGCCTTCCAGAGCCTCTTCCGGAACATGCAGGCGATGGGCAGGGGATGGGAGCGGATGGATCCGCGGAGCGGCGACACCGCGCGATTTGTTGCTTGGTGGTTCGCATTTGCTTTGTCTTCTATTGTGTCACATGTCCAAGTACAAACACTATTCTGCCATAACGTAATTTGGTGTACCTCACAATTCTAATGATTCAGTCCCCTGTTTTTTTGTGCTCTCAGCAAAACTCAGCTATGGTCCAACGATTCTGCACAGTGATACGGGCTTGGCAGAGGTTCCGAGGGGCTGGTAATTCTGGAGTGGCAATCCTGGAGTTGCAACATGTACCTTTTGACCTTTTGGAACATACCCTCCCATGGAAGCTGCTTTTGAAGGACATGTCGTCTTCCAGTAGCCCGAAGCGTCAGGCTCCATATGAACCGCGGTTCCTCGCCGCTTCGAGGTGCTTTTTGCAAGGCGCTGCGAAGCGCGACTCACCTTGGCCGCGGCGCATGTTCGTGCCACTTGACCAACTTCCGGCAGAAAGCAGATCAAGCCAATGAGTCTTGGATGTGCCATTGCCCAACCAAGTTGAGGAAGCATAGATCTGGGATCTGCTTTCGTTGAAATGATTTGGACATGAGTTGGAGCGAGTTGGAGCACTAAATGCACCCTACAATTGCATTATCGGCATTATCCATGTCCAACAGATCGTTGGAAGCGCAGTTTGGAGCAAAGCGGAAGACTTGTTTTTTGGCTGATCACTAGGGTGCCATCCGCATGCTGTGAGGTGAGCTGTTTCTGAGATGAGTGCTCGTTTTGAGACCAAGTTTTTGTTCGACCCTTGTGCTCTCCGAAAATCCGGGCTTGTCGTTGCAGGCTACCCTGTTTGGGCTCGATGGAGCCTTTCCGGACTTGCGGTGGCTCGCGTCACGTCGTGATGCCTCAAAAGGTCCAAGCCCCATCCCCCGACGGTCGACCAAGCCCCAAGGGTAGACCATGGGTCTCGTTGAGCTTTTGGACCAAAGTTGTTCCCTTCCAAGGGTCCTTGGTGCAATGTGAGCAGAGCAGCTGTATGCCCCCCCCCCCCCCGGCCCCCCAGCCCGCACGAAAGGTACCCCCTCCATCTCGAAGGTGCGACCCTTCCCGGGAAAAGGAGCCACAATCAAAACCGGGTAGATGAAGGGTTAGTAAGGAATATTTGTTTGTCATAAATAGCTGCGGGATATCCGCCTTCTTAATTCTTGATTTGCATGGTTCACCATTTGAGTACCGACGGGTTTTGATTCTGAGGCACACCGGGTTCTTCGAAGAAAAAGACCACAAAAAGCGCCCATCCCGAATCCATGTTGACAGAAGATCTGGCAAGAGACGGGTGTTTTTCCTTACAAAAACCCTCTGGCAAGAGACGACGGGTGTTTTTTCCTCGCAGAACCCGGTGGGTTGTAGCACCACGGTCCCCCGGTCCCTCCCTTCCCGCAACGAACCGAACTTCAGGAAGCCGCCGGCCTCGGCACCAAGAGGCCGCGCAAGATCGAGAAGCAAGATTGCGGCGGGGTCCCTTTCAAGGAACCGGAAAGATCGTTGAGTTTAATTTTTATGGCGGTGGGTCAAGAATCGGTACCCCAAATGGAACCCTAGTAAGTGGACACATGGACCAAAACCTGCGGTCCCCTGGCGGTCTAATTTTGACCCATACCCATATATATATATACGTATGTGTGTATATATATATATATGTTTATTTATACATATTGTAGATGAAAATAGAGGACCTATTTTCATCATAGACCCATCTTGACTTCAGGGTTGGTACGTCGGACGCAATGTTTTAGACGCCTTTCAAAGAATGACTCTCCGTTTTCTTTTCAGGTTGGTCAAAGACAGCGCGGAATTGGACATCGGGAAATCTTGCTTGAGCCGAGCTCCGCTTTGTCTAGCAGAGGTAGGGCCCGGGATGTCTGAGACCATACTCCTTATCAAAGTCAGAAACCTTTTGGTTGTTTTCCCTCAACCTAGGGGGTGACTTTGACAATACAGTCATGGGGCCAGTAGTTATTAGTGGAGTTGGTTTCCAAAAAGACCTCTTCATGTGTGGGGCTCGGGTCACAAAATGAGGGTCGCAAGGTAGGGATACAGGGGAAACCTCCCTGTGAATGAACATGAGGCAAGCAATGGGCGTGGTGTTGTTATCAGAGGGCCGATCTGGTCATGACTTAGATTCTCGCCCAGTACCAGACTGTCCCATGCTGTCCCGGGCAGCTGCTCACTTCGACGTTTGTTGCAAGCGTGTGGGCGTGTCGTTTTTGGATACCCTCGGTTGCTAAGAAAAGGGGACACCAATCGTGGCTCCATCGGGACCCATGCGGATGTTTCCTAAACTCAGGGACCCTTCTTTGGAACGGCGCCGCAAAAGCAAGCCCAACAGAACCCGACTCCACGACTCCTGGGACCCATCCGGCTCGAATCCGGTCCCCTGAGCCTGCCATTGATGTGATCTTCGTATCAGATGGGCGGCTCGTTTTTTGTGTTTTGTTCTCTGTCTGTTTTTCCGGACTTGGGGGTCCCCGAAGATGGCGCGAGGGTTTCCCTTCCTCCAAGTAACATGGCACCTGTGGGGAGGTGCCTGGAAGATGAATTTCCTTTTGAAGTGACACCCCGGCGGGTTGCCATGTTGGGAGGGAAGGTACAACTCCAAAAACGACCGACCCATCTGGGACTGGGTCTTTGAGGGGCTTTTGGCCGCAGCTGTTTGAGTCAGCGCATCGTCTTAGAGATGGGTTCAGCTCGTGGGCCAGGAATGTGCCCAAGGAACCACGAGGTCAAGCCATGTAGGTGTATCCAAAACTGGGCCGCCCCTACTTTTGCACCCACCAGCAACAGGTTCGAACTGAACCATTTCCATTCAGAGCGAAACCAAACTTTCTTTGCCAGGCAAGCAAGCCGCTGGTTTCCCGCTGGTTTCCCTTCCAAACCGGGTCTATATTATAAAAGATCTGACCTCCCCAAATTCCCCCCTGCGCTTTGTGACAAAACGCGAGGAGTCCCCGAAGAAACCCGGAAAAACCACCCAACGGGCAGACCCTTTTCGTTGGGCAGCCGGCCATGGCGCTGGCGCTGCCCGCGCAAGTGGGGCACTTCGTGGGGCAGCGAGTGCCGGGCTCGCCGCACCGACGCCCGCAGAGGCCAGGGATGCCGCGAGAAACATTTGCTTTTGGGGGCGGGCGCCCGGTGGTGTTCTTCTCTTTTTTTTTGGGGGGGGGGTTGGTGTCCACTGGTCGTGTTTTGTTTGAGGGGCTGGGGGGGCCGGGGGGGGTGTCCCTGATTTGTCTTCTTTTGGGTCTGGGGAACGGTTCCTGCCAGATCAAAGTGGTTGGCATTTCAGCTTCCCTTTACATCAGCTCAACAAATCGAGTGCCCCTTGCTCTCAACCCATGGGTCCGAGAGACGAAATCTGACGACCGTTGTTGCGTGTCTCCGGCTTCGGGTGAGAAACTGACATGACTCGTCTGCAGCTTGCTGTTGGGGAGGAGGAGAATTGGGACAACCCAAGTCTTCCAAAACCAGGGCTAGAACACACAAGCCAACCCACCCCACAAAACAATCCGAGCCACGGCTTTTCTGCTGTTGAAGGTTTTTCCGCTTTCGGCAATCAGAAGAAAAAACATAGCGTCGATTCTTAGCGCTTCTGTTTGGTCGTCACGGGTTCAGGGAACGTCAGTCCGGAACAGCGCATGCTGACGCTGCCGAAAAGCCAACTCGACTTCCACGGAGAAGAGGGACTTTGAGTTTGGGCGCGGCCTTGGCCGCGCCCCGGGTGAGTTTCAGGATGGGCTGCTGGGTTTTGCTGTCATCCCTGGAACCTGATTTGTTTGGCAAAGGGTTTTTAGCTGGGCAGTTCTTGGACATTTGTTGGGTTTGTAAGGCTGGTGGGCGTTTTTTGTGAACCAAGATGTCACTCGATGAGTTCGGTGAAACAACTTGCCGGAACCGAAGTACGGGACGGAGTCTGTTGACCTTCGCAGGGGTGCGGCAGCGACTTAGAGTCAGAGATTTGCTGAAGTAGGGGCTGGAATTTGCTTCATTTATCGTTTTTTTTTTTTTTTCTGGCAAAAGGCAGTCAATCATGCATGTTTCAGGTCCACCACGTCCACCATGCAAAAATCATGGAAGTAATAAATAACGTTGGATGCGGCAATCGAGGTCTTGTGGCTGTCAGGTTTGTCAAGGGTATTGGAGGGAGACAAGCAAAAAACCGCCGCGTGGAACATCAAATGATTCCGCATCGCACATGTTGATGACCAGCCGTTCTACGCATATCTTCCTCAGCTCCGTCCGGTGCGCCATGGGGCGCGTCTTCCAGGCTGCGTGTGCGTGTGCTGGGGTGGAAATCAAGAGCTTTGGCGGTCCCATGCAGCTCTCCCACTGCTGGTGCAACGCTTGCCGCGCTGCCACCGGCAACCTCCCTTCAGTTTGGGCAGCTTATCCTCTGTCTCAGACGTTGTTCACATCTAGCAAGACGCTGCGCCTATTCCGGTCTGGGCCCAGCAGTGCGGACAGATATTTTTGCAGTGGGTGCGGAAGCAGCGTGGCGATGTTGTACCACCGGCGCTCTGTGTGGCCGGAGAAACACACCGTGTGGCTGGCGCGGCACTTTGCGAACGTCGAGCAAGGAGGCTTTGACGAAGTTCACGTCTACCAGAACCAGGACGATCCCTCACAGGAAGTGCTGCATCCCGATCAGTTTGTGATGCCCGCGGGGCCAAGGCAGGACCAAGGCTCTGTAGCGCCTGTTGCGAGTGGGGAGGAGGCATGCATACGCATCTTTGATCAGCAGGGAGATCTTCCGTTCTCCAGATGGGTGGCCGTGAGCAAGGTGCCAGCGTGGTTCAGTGAGTCTTCAAGGTGCAGCGAATGAGCAAAGAGCACAGCCCGATTTTTTCGGGATGAGACGTGCATACGATATGCATCGATCCTCGGATAGAGCTGCCCTTTTCCGGCTTGCCAGAAAGCTTGAGATGTTTCAAATCGATGTGAAAAGGCCAAACGAGCACATGTGTGATGCATGGACCGACACTCTGTGAGGATCTCAATGAGCCAAATGCTCCGACCAGAACGTAGTTGTTTTCGGATTTTGCATCCGAGCTGCTCATTGACCCTCGTAAGGTTCTAAGTTGTTCAGTGGCACCAATTATTTTCCCTTTTTTGGTGGCTGCCCCACCAAAAATGGTCTTCCCCGAAAAGGGTTCCCTTTTTTTCCAGGGTCACTGACCAAACTGAGGGTTCGTAGCTGTTGTATCAGGGCCATTCGAAGTGATCTTTTGTGGTTCACTTTGTGCCAGAAGCCACAGGTCGCGCACCCTGCCAACAGAGGTGGGAGTCCACCGCGCAGGGTCTCGAAAGAAATTCGGTGCGCCCAGAGATTCCCAAAGGGCCACCTAGGTCATAGGTTGTCTAAGAATAGGTTTGGGATCCCTCCAAAACGGTGAGTTTCCGTTTGGCTTTCCTTCCAAACCAACCGAAAGGGGTGTCTTGAAAGAAGGACAGACCCATCCAAAATTAAACGGCAGTTTTCTGCTTTTGCTTTTCAAGGGACATAAACAACAAATGAGGAGCACGAGTCTTAGGTGCTGCCTGGTCCCATCGAAAGAGCATCATTTGAAAATTAAGGTCGCTACTATGAGGGCCTAACTAGTTACTTGGTGGTTCCCAGCCTTCCAGTTCCTTAGGTTTTTAGCTTTTTAGTTGGCTTAGTGGTTGGGTTTCCATTTATCCCACTGAGGGTAAACTTTTGGCAGGGGATCTGAGGACAGCCCAGATTAGAATGGGGTTGTGCAACTCAGTCACGGCCGTAAGATCTGTATTTGTTTCGCCACTCGTAGGTCTGATAGGTGCTAGAGACCCCATTTGTCTTATTCCCCAAAAGGAAGCCAAAAGCAAACTGAGTGATCCGTTCCAATTTTCTAGGTTTGGATACCCAGGTCTCTAAAGTGGTTGCATTGTGCGGGCGTTCCGGGCTGGACGTGTTGAGAGTCGCTGAGCGTCTTCGGCGGTAGAACAATCTTGACCAGAATGTCCAGGATGTCATATTTGGCTTTCAAATTGTTTCAGAGAAATCTGAGACACAGCAGACGCATTCGAAAGCACCCCATTTTCAGCGGAAAGACCTTCTCAGCTCACGAAAGAAGCAATGGACCATGAACCCCTTTTTTTTAGGCATGCCGGGGAAGCTTCTTGTTGAGGGAGCACCAGATCCATACAAGGAGATCTGACCACGGGCACATCATACCTCTCTATATACATGTATACATATATGTGCGTATGTTGTAGCTAAATGTGCAGCGGGAAACTGATTGTTTTGAATGTGTTGGCTCCCATCCAGCGGATGTGACTAGAACCGCTTCGCGATTCCACGGACTGAACTCCAGACCCCACTTCCGGCAGGCCGAACGGGAGACCGGGGAGTTGTTTTCAGACCAGGTCGGAACCATTTGGAAAAATGTGGGTCAAAACCACTGGTACCATTTTGGGGTAGGTGGGGGTCGGAACCATTTGGGGACTGTGGGGGAAATCTTTGAGCATTTGGTCGAGTCCTTGGACGCGCCATGGCAGGAGCTATGTGACAGAAGCGCCGGGACGAACTACCAGCTGGTGAGCGCCTCGCCGCTTTTTGGGATGGGCCAATCATTCGCGTTCTGTGCCTTTTTTTGGTTTTACATTCTCAGGGCTCCTTAAAAGATACATTTTGCCCAATTGAAACATGGCTTTTTCGAGCGGAATAAAGGGAAGCCACCATTTACAAGGCAATGTTCAGGTGTATAATGTAAGGATCGGCACCAAGTCCTTTTCCTGTTTTTTTTGGTGGCTGGCCCACTAAAAATGGTCTTCCCAAAAAAAGGGTTGCCTTTTTTGTCCAGGGTCACTGAACAACTGAGGCGATTGTTGCTTGCTTTTGACCCATGTAAGGGTGTTGGGACAGATGACTTCATAGTTCACGAGTATCGCGTTTCATTGGAATTAGAGGCACAAGCTTGGGGGGTATCACATAAGTTGTGCAGGGGGAATTCGGGCATCACATGCTGGTCAACCGTAGTGGATGCGGCCAATAACCCCAAAAAAACCGCTTGGGGTCGTTGATTCTAGTTCCCTGCCAGCGGTGCAGTTCTCAGGTATGAACACTGAGCACCTGAAGAAGACGCAAGGCTAGGGAAGCCTCGATTGGGAGCTTTCGGCCTTTGCCAAGCCGAGTGTGTGAACTGCCTTCGACCCTGGGGCCCATCATTTAGCGAGAAGAAGGGAAGCCAGAAACAACTCGATATGTTGACATGAGCCACAATCAAAACCCGGGCAGATGAAGGGTAGTAAGGGACAATCCCAGCCATAAATAGTTGCGGCCGCCTTTCAATTTCCTTACATGATTCTGGGTTAACCATTTTAATACCGGGTTTTGATTGTGATGTTGACCCGGTGTCCTTTTGTTTGACCCCACAGGGGTGGGCTACAGAATTCCCTCAGGGTTTCCCTTCACCCTGGGGCAAAGACCTGAGTTCCTATGCTCTACCCCTTACGCACGAACCCAAAGACCTGGGAGAACTTGACACTTTTGGTAAAGCCGTATCCGCCAACAGGTTAATTGGCATTTTTCTTCGCCCAATCGGTGTGTTTTTTGTTGCGCAGCGAGGGCCCGAGATTCGCCTGGGTCGACTCCTTTCAAATTTGTTCCATCCACCTTACTATCCCACTCTATTTTCGGATGGTCGAGTCGACGGGTTGAGGTGGAGGTGGTCAAGGGTGACAAATCCATGGTTGACCTTCGAATCCTTTCAAATCGAGGCTTTGCACCAATCCACCTTACCATGGAAGCTGCCGTCGCGGGATCCTGGAAGACTTCCCCGCGATAGGGCGGGTTCCAGGTCAGACGTGAGGCCGCGTTTGGAGACGTATTGCCGGGCCCCTGGCAGGCGTGGCGGCGCAGCAAAAGGACTGGCTGCCGCGGCCGGAGACCTTGCCTGCGGGACACCCCCTGCTGTCCCGGAGTCTGCAACGCTGCTCGGCGGATTTTTTTTGGGGGCATGGGCTTTCTCTCAGGATTTGGACACCGACATCTGGCGCCACCCAAAAGGGGGTACCATCAACAAAAAACAACACAAACACCCGCATGCTGCGAAGCAGCCTTAGCAGGTTAGCTGGTTCACGGAGTGGGGTTGATTTCTCCAAAAGGGGAGGGCTTCCTTTGTTTGGCGCAGGCGAATTCGATGGTTTTGAGGCATAGAAAAAGAAGGAACCTTGTCCTGTTCATAAATGCACCCTATCGACATATACATGTTTTCTAGACTCTCAATTAGAATGGAACTCTCAGTGTTTTTTCCAGCCCCCTGATATTCTGCAAGGGCTTCACATTCCACCAATCCAAACCACAAAGGCTTACTTGACTCCCACTCCCAAAACTAGCAAGTCAAACTCTATGTGTTGTTCCTGACCCATCCCCGTTGCAGACTCAAAATAAAGTTGGGGCGGGTTGGATCCTAAAACATGTCATCTATTCTAGTTTAGTCCAACCCCATTTGTTCCATTAAACCTCAGTTGTTCAGTGGCACCAATTCTTTTTCCCCTTTTTTTCGGTGGCTGCCCCGCTAAAAATGGTTCAAGCCCCAAAAACGGTTCCCTTTTTTCTAGGGTCACTGAACTGAGAAACCCCAACGGGGATCTGACCCCAACGCATCGCTCCGTTGTTGGGATCGTCAAAGTCGGGCGCCGAGGCTGGCATCACGCAGACAGCCGGAGCCGCGAAAACTCCAAGCATTCCACCGGCGCCTCGGAGTGCACGGCTGAACCGCTTCCGGGGAAATGGGGAAATGTGGTGCTCCGTTTTGGGGGGGGGGTTGGCTGAAAGGGAAAGCAACACAGTTTTTGCGAATGATGGAGAGTTTGTTGTTTTGTCGTTTTTTGTATTTTTTTTCTGGGGGGGGGGCGCAATTGTGCGAAGGTTTCTTTTTTTTTGGCTGCTGTTCTTTTTGTTGGGGGGGGTACTACACCCTAATAGGGCCTCTGTGGCTTCCTTTGGGGTTTAGATGTTCCAAACTATGGAGGTCTCTCTGGATCCATTTTAGGTTGGTGGGTTTGTTGCTTTTGGACCCCCAAAGAAGTGATTGATTGGCTTCCATCTGGCCAGCCCCTTTTAAAGCAAGGGGCCACGCCCATGCTCCCTTCTGAACAAAATCCTGTTGGTAGGCGGTGTGGCCCTGTATTTTTGTTGGGGTTTCAATCCATCCCGAGTGCAGGATCTTGCCCATCCTTTGTTTTATTTGTTCTTTCCAGGGACCTTTTGATGGATTTTGCCCATCCTTCGATGTCTTTTTGTCCACCTTTGGAGCATCCCTGTGCGCTGGCTGTTTGGGTGCCTGGGGTGGGGGGCTTTGGCTCCGTAGTCTTCATTTTTTGACCACGATTTGCTCCCAGAGTTGTAGTTTCTCAACGCGATTTCGCATTTGTCCAACTTCTACCCTGCTAAAGCCAGTCAATTCAATCCCTCGATTCCATCCGCAAGACTCCCGAGTGTCTTGGGAGGATTCATCACCTTTGACGGAGCACTCTCCCAATCTGCCTGGATATGTCCACGAAGTGCCCTTTACATCCAGGAATTCATTGGGGCATTGCTCCATTTGGCATTGATTCCCCTTTGAAACATAGGCTATTTTGGCCAGGCGTGATTCTTTCCCCAAAACTATCCTCCTGACCTCTGCGACAACAGCCTTAGATACCCTAAATCTGTCGGCAACAGCGAAGGTGTTGCTGCGGCTTTTGTAGATCCACCCAATGGGGGATAGTCAAAAGTGAAAAAGTACCAACACGGTATGACGAAAAGACACCTTCAGCCGGAGCAGGGTCAGGCAGCTGCGTCTGAGCCGTGTGGCACTT